CTTAAAATCTTAATGGATACAGGTTAATCCAAGTTCCATATATTAGCTATGAAAGACTGTCAAACGTCAGAAACAACACAATTGCAACATTCTATACTGACATTTCTATCTGAAAATTCAAAATGATCTCCCATTACCAACAAGCCCTTATTAAAAGACAATGAATGTCATCAAGCATTAGGTTGAGCAAGACCACGTTAACAGATAACTCATGTAGAAATCCTGTACATTACTCCCTGGTCAGTACTGTCTGCGTTTGGGTTCCCCAAATCAGAAATACTCAAATCCATGTAGACACCTCCATTTAAGAATCGGCTGAGCTTCCTTGTACCAAGGAAATGCAATCTATATATTCATGGTTATATCTTTCTTATTCTTAAAGGCAGCTCAATCCTAGGAATAGGTACAAAATTTATGGTAGCGTTTAGAATAATTCAAGCTTTGAATATTAACTTCTGAGAGCTGGTTCTCATTATCTTTTGAGGCACGGTAACTAGACTGTCTACAACATTGGCAGTATTTTGGCATCCAGCTGCAACAGGGTATAAAAAAATGTCTGCTTCATTTACTATGTTGAATTGGCAGGAGTTCTGCTTGCTAATTCCTTCCAAAGCATGATGACTTTCACTGGGTGAAGTCCCCGGTTCCCTGCTGTAAGTTGAAAAGGTCAGGCGTAGGTTTCCAAATTGGAATATTAGTCATATACGTTTATAAGAGTCTCTACGCTAGCGTATGAATTAATATCACTGTGTGTTCTTTGCAACAAGTTCCAAATGATTTGGTATTTGGCGATGAAATGTTCCCACACTTTTACCTGTTGCCTTTTCACCACTTCCTCTCCAGAGATTCAAGGAAAAATATTGAGATGACTTTATTGTTCCCTTCAGGTTATAGGTTTAAAAAGATGTTTCAGGGAGATACGCAGGTAAAGTTACACTTAATATTTTCTTTTCATATTTCTGAGAATTTCCTCCGTTCTCAGTTTTCATGTTTTATTAACCTACTCTATCTAATAAAATTTTAGCAGTTCAGAGCTTAAAGGACAGAAAAGGTCTAAGACGGTGCAGGAGGTTTAAGGTTTCAAAAGATTACTTTTTCTTTCATGTGGGATCTTAATGAACTTAAAAATGGCATAAGAAACTATGTGGACTGGGTTTTGTTGTTTTGCATGTATCTTTCCATCATCCTACTATTACAGAAATAAAGAGTAAACAGGATTGTTTTGAGTTTTGCAGAATATCTGAATTAGGTGCCTGATCACTTTATTTTTAAATAGCAATGTTTGTTTTAGAATGCATTCATTCATTCAAAATCAGATGACAGTGATCAATGGGATTAAAAATATTTCTCAATGTGGTGAATGACTTTCAAACCTCAGCAAATTTAGGAAATAAAATTTTCATCACTTCAACAAGGTAAAAACTAATTTGTTTCTCTCCCTAGATTTCAAGGCAGCATTTGCTTGACTTATAAAGCATGTGGCAGTTTCTGAGAAGGAATGGTTGTCAGATGTGGGGATAAAATAAAAGAATTAAATGTAACACAAAAGAGAGAGAATGGAGCAGAGAGAAAGGGAACAAGGACAAATAGTTTCTGCTCTTATTACAGTATTACATTAGGAAGTGCCCTCTCCAAACTCTGACATCCTTGTGTGGAAAGGGGAAAGGAAAAATACCCATCATCCTACAATTACCAGCTCACGTAAAAAGTTCATGAATGAGTAAAATATTTGAATAAGTTAGGGAAAAGTTGAAAATCCAAACCTACTTCTTTCTAATAATATAATAACTCAGCAAAGTTTTCTGCAGCCTTTGACTCCCCAAGAAGAAATCATTTTAAAAAGGATGATTCCTAGTCCAAAAAGGTTCCCAAAGTCTAGACTGGTGCTACTCAGATTTAGATTTTCTGAGGCAACTCTGCCTAGAATTCCCTGTGTTAATTATATGGGTTCCACCACAAATGCGCGCACAACAAAAGCGCGCCTGACTAAAGCGCGGTGACTAAAGCGCAGTGACAAAACCGCGCAACAAATTAGCCCTAAAGCGCGCCGACAAAAGCGCGTCGACAGAAGCGCGCTGTAACGTAACCCTAAACCTAACCCTAACCCTAAACCTATTGTCGGCGCGCTGTTGTCGGTGCGCTTTTTACATCACGGTTTTAGCGCCACAGTGTTGTCGGCGCACTTATGACGTTCGCGCTTTTGTTGGGTCACGAATTATATGACTAACCCTTTGTGAGAGGGAAGCGGTGGCTCAGTGGCTAAGACGCTGAGCTTGTCAATAGAAAGGTTGGCAGTTCAGCAGTTCAAATCCCTAGCGCCGTGTAATGGAGTGAGCTCCTGTTACTTGTCCCAGCTTCTGCCAACCTAGCAATTCGAAAGCATGTAAAAATGCAAGTAGAAAAATAGGAACCACCTTTGGTGGGAAGGTAACAATGTTCCGTGCACCTTCTGCG